GCTCGAGGATCTTCATGCCCGCCTTGCCCTGGTGCACCGTCTTCACGTGGGAGCGCAGGTTGTCCACCCGGTTGAAGCCACGGCCACACTTGTCACACAGGAACGGCTTCTCCCCTGGGGGTGAGATGGGAAGTGAGGGGTGAACGGCGGGGGTGAAAAGCTCGGGGCAGCCCGGGAACTGCAGCGGCACGCACCGGTGTGGATGATGATGTGCTTGGAGAGGTCGCCCACGTTGACGAAGGCCTTGTTGCAGACGGTGCACTTGTGGGGTCGGATGTTGTCGTGGTGGCGGATGTGGTTTGCCAGCTGGCTCGACTGCACGAACCTGTCGGGGACAGGGAGGCCGTGGAGCGGGCATGGGGGCGAGGACCCTGTGATAGCACCACCATGGGGGCAGCCCTGGGTGAGGTCCCCTTGGCACAAGGAGGGGACTGGCAGGGGCCGCTCACCTCTTGCCGCAGCGCTCGCAGACGTAGGGCTTCTCCCCCGTGTGCTGGCGCACGTGGGCGATGAGGGAGCTGGCCTGGGTGAAAGCCTTCCCGCAGATCAGGCACTGGCACGGCTTCTCTCCTGGGGAGGCAGCAGGAGGGCTCAGCCACGTGGGGATCGAAACTCAACCCCCCTCTCCCCAAGAAAGCCCCGAGCCCCTGGGGAAGCACCCCAGGGCAGCAGAGCCGTGTTCCTACCTGTGTGGATGCGGACGTGCCGCTGCAGCGCCCCGGGGTCAGCGAACTGCCGCTGGCAGTGAACGCAGACGTAGGGCTTCTCCCCGCTGTGGATCCGGAGGTGCCGCTTCAGGTTGCCTGCAAGCAGCCGCATCTCAGGGGGACACCGGTGCCCCCCCGTCCCTCCGCACACCCTGCTCAGCAGCTCTTGAGGTCAGGGGTCAAGTGGTAACGCGAGCACCGCGGCGGTGGGCAAAGCCAGAACAAGCACCCCGTGTTTGGGACGATGGACAGACGGTGCTGCTGCGGTTGTACCTACAGCAGTGCTCCCGCTGGTCTCCTCCCAACCACCCCTCTGGCTCTGCAAGAGCTTGGGGAGACGGGAGGAAACACCTCCATACTCCCCCACCTGCTCCTCTCAGGAGCATCCCCATTTGGGACACCGGCCTGGTCCTGCAGATGTTTTTAACCCAGCTGGAAACAAGGGGGAGATGTTTGGGCAGGGCCATGGTGCTGCATAGGCTTAAGCCCTCCTCTGTCCCCCCAGCAAATCTCCAGCGCTGGGACCTCACCACCTACCAACCCGGTGCTACCTGAAGTGGTGAACTGCTTGCCACACTCCCGACACTTGAGGGGCCCGTCTGCAATGTGAATCTTCAAGTGAGCTTTCAAGTTCCCCACCTGGGGACAAACACAGGGATGCAGAGAGCTCCCCACCATCCCCACCTCCCTCCGGTGGGTACCGAAACCCTGGCCCTTTCCCCCTGCTCACCTGGTTGAATTTCTTGTCGCAGTGGGGACACTTGTGCTCCTTGTCGGTGTCGTGGGTCTCCAGGTGCCGCATTTTGGAGGTGGGGTCGGAGAAGGAGCGCCCGCAGTAGTCGCACTGGTAGGGCTTCTCCCCGCTGTGCACCAGCTGGTGCCGCTTCAGGTTGCCGGAGGTGGTGAAGAGCTTGCCGCAGTCGTCGCAGCGGTACTTGGCCTCCCCCGTGTGCCGCTTCTTGTGCAGGTTCAGCAGGCTGATCAGGCGGTAGCTCTTCCCGCACTCCTCGCAGCCGTAGGGCTTCAGGGGGCTGCAGAGGAAAAGGGACAGACGTGTGCCAAGCTCCTCTCCCTGCCACGTCTCCAGCTCTGCCCCCCAGCTGTGCCCTGCTGTGTCCCCCAGGGTGTCCTCAAGCCCCACGAGGTAAAAGGGTGTGGGAGAGCAAGGGCAGAGAGGTGAGTCTCCTCTCAGACTCTCTGCCCCAGCATGCTGACAGATTTTGTGAGAGTCTGAGCTTTTGCAGCAAAAGCCAAATTTTGTAGTGAAAATGCTGGAGCCTTCCTGTAGCTGGGACTATCCAGACCCTGCTGACCCTACAGCTGCCGACCCACCCAGATCAATCCGAGAGGCACGGAGCCGCTCACCGGCCTCTGGCTCACACCCGTAAGCCCTCAGGCTCCACTGTCATTGCCACGAGCTCCATCTGGCCCAGCCTGGTGGCACCCGCTGGTCCCCAGCGTCCCTTACCTGTGCGTCTTCTCATGGGCTTTGCAGGCGGCCGGGTCGGAGAAGGCTTTGTTGCACTCCCTGCAGGAGAAGGGCTTCTCACCGGTGTGGATGCGGATGTGCCGCTTGAAGTTCCCGGTGTGGGTGAACTCCTTCCCGCAGTCCTAGAGGCGGAGGGAGACGCACAGGCGTCCAGGAACACCGGTGACACCGAGGGACAGGAGCCCCGCTGGGGCTGTGGCCGCGCTCACCTCGCACTTGTGCGTGACGGAGCCGTAGGCTTTTGACTCGGTCCGGTCGCTGTAAGTGCCTGAGCGCAGCAGCCGGGTTTCCCCTGAGTTCTCCTGCCCGGAGTCAGTGCTCCCCGATTCGTTATCCTCGGCATTTTCTCCGTTTTCTAACTTGGGCTGCACTTCCTTGGGGATTTTAGCCTCCTCCTCATCCTCTGCCGCCATCTCTCCCTCTTCTTCCTTCCCTTCCAGCTCCACCTCTGCAGCTGTTTAAAAAACGGGGACACTACAGATCAGGAGCAGCACCAGACACCAAGCCCACCCACGCTTCTGAACTCAAAGCCTGAGGTTAATGCGATGGGGCTCGCCCTGTGTACTTGGGGACGTCCCGGTAGCTGTGCTGTACAACACAGGTGCTGTGCACACACCGGGACCTCTGCCTGGAGTCAGTTTGGATTTGCAACCCCAAAATCCTAAAGCTCCTGAGCAAACAGAGCAGCATTTCCCACTCCACCCCAGCTCTGCTCCCTGGCTCTGTGACTCGGAGCAGTGTTTTCGCGGTGAAGGCCACACCAGCAAAACCAGCAAGGCTTCAACCTGGCTTTGCCCTCAGCCCCGTCCTCCTCCCAGGAAGGGAAAGGGAAAACAGCAAAGCCACCAGCACCGCGGTCACCGCAAACGCACCTCCCGTGGCGCCGTGCTGGGGGTCGCTGCCCTTGGCTGCGGGGCTGCTGCCGCCCATCGAGCCCTCTGCGGGCTGCGTGGGGCTGGGGAAGCCGTCGGCAGGGCCCGCCTGGGTGGCACCGTCTGCACCTAGGAACAGCAGAGTGTCTCGGGGAGAAAACAGACGCTCGGCTCCACGCAGCAGAGCCTGGCAGCAGGACAGGGTGCCCAAGGGGATTTTTGACGTCACCTCCTGGCTGCTGCCCTTCTGCGGGGACCTCTTTGACATCCAGCTGCTCCGCCTGCTCCTCGGGCTGTGCTGCCGCAGCCTCGGGCGCCTCTTCCTTCCCCTCCTGGGTGGGAGGAACTTGTTTTGGTTTGTCCGAATCACCCCGCGTCACTGCTGCCACCGCTTTGTCCTCGCCGGCTGCCTTTTCAGCCCCTGCAAGGGAAGAGGCATAGCAGCACACCGCGCCACCTCCCGCTGCTCGGGCAGGGGCCAGAGGCCAGGCAGCTTTCCTGAACTCCCCAGGGAGACAAGGAAGGCATCAAGTCTCCAAAAAAAAACAGCGAGTGGTGCTGCACAGGGGCTCAGAGCCACAAACACCACCCGGACACCCTCTGACTGAGGCTCTGTGCATCAGCTGCATCTGGTCACCCAGCTGGGGTGCAGGTCAGGGCTGCAGCCAGTGGCTGCGTGGCTCAGCGGGGGGATTTTGAGCCTCTGCAGCTTGCTGGATGAGGAAAAGCAGATCCCCAGGGAGCTGGGGCTGCAGGAAAGCTACGTACCCGTCTCAGCGGGGACCTCCTGGCTCTCCACAGGGCTTTCTGCCAGCACCGTGAGGGACTTGAGCGCGTTGCAGGCACTGACGATCTCCTGCATCTGGAGGAACCCCGCCACGGCCAGCACGTCTTCCACGTTGTCGGGGTTCAGGCTCAGCTTGGCTGTGTACATGAAGTCCAAAACCTGCCCCAGGCCTGCGAGGGACACAGCACGCGCTGGTACCCAGAGATCAGCTCCCACCCACGGCACCGGCTCGGCTGGATGACTTCCAGGAGCCGTGACAGGCTGAAAAGCCCCCCCCCGAGCACCCCAGCCCCTACCTGCCGTGTTGTTGATGTCGAGGTGCACCACATCCTTCTGGTCCACGAAGAGCATCCTGAAATACTCGCTGCAGGCCGCCAGCACGGCTTTGTGGGCCTTGAAGTTGATGCCATTCACCACGAAGGTGCAGTCGCACAGCAAGCCCAGCTGCCGCTGCTGGTTCAGCTGCTCCAGGACTTGCTTGCTGTGCTGGGGGAAATCCATGGCTGCGGGGAGAAGGCAAAGCCAGGGGTGAGACGGGACGAGAGGCAGTGCAAAACCCTCAAAAAAACCCTGCCTCAAAGTTTCAGCTCTTTGAGTCTCCTCTCAAGACCCTCCTGGGCCCCCAGCGCTCGGTGGGGCTCCTCTAAGGCTTCCCCAGCCTTGTGCCCCACTCCGCCTCCATCCTGCAGCGCTCTGGGCACGTGCAGGATCCCCACGCAGCTCATCCCGTGGGGAGCTGAGACCATTACAGCTCATTACAGCACCCAAAAACAAAGGCTGAAGGGCTGGACGGCCTCCTCGCTTGTCGGGCCCGGTGACAGCCTGGTGCTGGTGACGAGCCCCAGCGCAGCAGGGGGGTCACACAGGGGCCTCCTGCAGCCCTGCAGGCGGTGGCTTCAGCCCCAGGCGTTTCCCTTCAGCGCTGCTGGAGTGCAGGCACGCAGCGAGGCAAGGGAGCCTCCTCCTGTCTGCAACGGGTCGTAGCACGGCGCTCCTGAGAGACCTCGTGCCGAAGGATCAGCTGCGCCCAGGGGACCTCCAGGACCTCCGAGTCGCCTCACGGGCAGCGAGGGCCGGGCTGCTGGAGCAGCAGCGCCTCGCTTTGAGGCCTTTGGTCTCCCCCCATGGCATTTACCACGGGAAACTGTGGCAGCTAGAAGAAACCCATGGGAAGGGGTGTTGGGAGCTCAGGAAGCTCTGTGCTCTCCTCGGAGCCAAAGCCTGCGTTGCAGCCAGGGGAAAGCCACGGGGACAAACCAGGGTCTGGCAAAACAAGAGGCAAACCAGGAGCTCGTGGAGCGCTCTGAAGCACCAAGCTGCCTTTTGCTTCTGTCACACGAGACCTTATTTAAAGAAAAATTAAAGGAAAGCCTGGCCAGCGAGCTCACAGCAACACCCATCAGGCCCTGGCAGGAGCTTGCAGCTTTTCGGAGGCTCCCAACCACATCCGAGACGCGAAGCTCCCGTTCCACAAAGCTCCTTCGGGACACACCAACAGGTACAGGAGCAGAGGCACCGAGTGCCTGCGGTCCCCAGGAGCCAGACTGCATCCGTGCCCACCTCTGTGCATTTCCCCGTGCCCTCTGTTCCGGCTGGAGCTCCTTAAACTCTTCCCTAAAATCCTCATGCTCCTTCTCGCGTGAGGTTGAGCGCACGGGTCCCGAACAGGCAGAGCCCTGCTTGCGACACCTTCCCCCACCTCTCCCCAAACACCGGGTGCTCTTCAACCAAGCACCCCCAGACTGCCCAAAATACATCCCTCGAGAGCCAGAGGAGCCAGCAGCTGCAGCGAGCTCTGCGCAAACCCCCGCGTGTACGCGACGACCCCGTAAAGCTCGCAGGGGAATCTCGATGCCCCTGGAAAGGGAGGATTTTCTCAGCAGGACCAACGGCGCTGCAGCATCGCAGGGCTGGGGAAACGACAGCAGTTGGATGCAGCAGAAGGCTATTTTTGGTAAGCTGGAGGAGGCACTTGGCATCCGAACGATGACTTTTACGGCCCTGGGGTTTTGCTCGGTGCTTCCCGGTGCTGAGGTCAGGCTCCACGCAGCCCCCCTGGGAGGAGCGGGGTGAAAAGCTCCACTTCAGACCACAAAACTCACTGCCCCGGAGCGGTCGCGGCAGTTTCGTGCTGCTTTTTGTCCTACCTCACGTTCCAGCACCCATCGAGGTGCTAAATGGCAAGATTCCTCCCACGAGGCACCAAGGAGCCAGAACCAGGTGCCCTCTGCTCCCACCTCAGCAGCACACGAGCTCTGTTTTCCCCTCCCAACCCAGCTGCTGAACCTTTCATTATCCGATCAGTCACAGCAAGGCAAAGCTTTGGCACTACAGCACCCACACAAACAGAGCAGGGGCCCTGGGCTCGTTCCCCACGAGCTGTCACTGCCCCGGCGCTGCTTTTGTGGGGTGAAAAGCACAACCCCACGGGGGAAAGGCCAGGGAGCAAACGGTGCTCTGACAGCCAGAGCACGAGGGCGCTTGGGGCAGGTGTGAAGCAAAGGTTTCGTGTCTTTTCTCTGCACCAGCTCCGTGCCCAGGTGCCTTCTGTTAAAAAAAAAAGATCCTTGAGCGCAGAGGAATGGTTTAAGCAATCCAGTGAGCACCGCTCGCTGCTCCCTCGCCGTCCCCGTGCCGCACAGCCCCGCGCTGGCACCCGAGCTGGTTGCTGAGGGAGGCAGAGGTCAGAGCCAGCTCTCCGGGAGCCGTCCCAGGACTTCCAACAACTCCCGGCCGAGTTTTTGTTGCTGTGACAGGCGCAGGAGCCAGGCCCGGGGAGCACCAGGAGGGGTCAGGCTGTGGGGGGGGGCCCAGCAGCCAGCGCCCAGCCGCAGCCCCGGGGCCTTTTGGCTCCGTGCAGGCAGCCGGGGCTGCGCAGGGCCCGGGGCCACTTCTTGTTTTATTTTTTTCCCACATTTTTTCCTCATTTTTCCCCATTTTTACCCCACCCCCCCCCCGGCCTGCCCGGGGCGCTGACACCGCGGGGACCCCCCTGAGGCGTTCTGGGGACCCCGGCCCCGGCCTCCTCCCACAGCACGGGCCCGGAGCGCTCCCCACGGCCCCCCACGGCCCCGCTGAGCCCCCCCGAGCCCCCCGTGTCCCCCCCCCGCCGCCCCCTCCCCACCTGCCATGCCGGGGCCGGCCGCGGCCTCACAGCGCCGCCCGTGACACGGCCCAGACAAAGGGCGCCGCCATCTTGGCGCCGGGCGGAAGCGGCGTCGCCCCCTCTCCGCCGGCAGGGACCGCGCATGCGCGGCGGGGAGGAGGCGGGAGGGGCGGGAGGGGCGGGAGGGGGCAGGGTCACGTGGTGCGCTCGGCGCTCTCGGGCCCGCCGCCATCTTGCGGCCGTGAGGGGCCGCGAGGCCGGGAGGGGGTCGGGGCTGTGCGGCCCCTCCTGAGGGGGGGGCGGGGCTGTTTGTGCCCCCCCAGGGGCTCGTGGCCGGGGGTCCCCCCCCCTGAGGGGGGCTCGGGGTTTCCCAGGGCGTCCTCCCGGCCGGGTGGGGCGGTGGCTGGGGTCCTGTGCCTCATGGTGCTGATGGCAGCTGTCCCCAGAGGGGGGCTGTGGGGGTGGGCTCGGTGTCTGGCTGTGGTGACAATAAAGTAATAAAGGCTGTTCCCGATCCGAGTGCTCCTGTCATTTTTTAATCGCCTCAGGGGGTGCAGAGGGCTGGGGGTGGCCGCCTGAGGAGCCCCCCATGGGTGTTGCGATGCACCGGGGGGTGCGGGGGCACCCGTCTGCCACATGCGTGTGTCAGTGGCAGACTGGAGGCAACACAGTCCCAAAACCACAAATAAATAGTGTTCCTAATGCCTCACCTGCTGCCCCACAAAGTAGGCATTTCACGGCCAGCCTGCCAAAAATGAGCCCGTTACGGGGCCAAACATGAGGGGAGGGTGCTGGTGCTGCGGCTCTGAGCTGCCCCCTCACCCTCTCACCCCGCTCTGAAATCTGCTGCAAACCCCGTCAGTTTGGGGCGAAAAACCCTATTTTCCTTCCCGTGCTGGGTAAGGGCCGCCTGCCAGAGCCTCACCGCTAGATGGCAACGTGTGACCGCGGCGGGTGCTGCCGCAGCACCCAGGGGTGCTGTGTGGGGGCACAGCAGGGGGGCTGCCCGGCCCCTGTACCCCAGTCCTGAGCCGAACTGCGTCTTCTGCAGGCATTAAAAGCTGTTGTGATGGTGTTTAAACGTCGTTTCTCACAGCAGGCGGTGCGTGGATGAATCCCGCATCACCTCCTGCCTCACCCGAGTTGTTGACGAGCCAGAAATAAATCAGAACCCAAAGGGCTGCAGGCGGAGAGCCTCGTGCCCGTCCTTCGCGGTGCCATCAGGGGACAAAGCGACCTCGCGGCTCGCCCCGCGTGCCCTGGCAATGCGAGCTGGGCCTGGGCGGCGGCGTGTGGTGGCTATAAACAGCCGCTGGTCCCCGGGCGCTGTGTTTGTACACACGGCCTGGCCTCCTTCCACCCCTGACGCGGTGCCCGGCCTCCCCTCCCGCCCTCGGGGTGGCTCCGGGGCAGCGTTTGGGCCCGCCAAGGAAGGAGCCCCCGGGCTTGGTGGCCGGGCTGCGAGAGCTGCTGGCCCTGCCACCGGTGGGCTTGCCGGTGGGTGAGAGGAGGAGAAGGGGGTTTGGTGACCTTCCAGGTGGGCTGGCAGCCCAACAGCTGAGGGAAGGGCTCAGAAATAGAGCCCGGCCGGGAAGAAATGAGTCACCCCGGCTGGAAATAAACAGGGCAGCGGGCACGGAGGGAGCCGGGCTGCTCGGGACAGCTCTGTCTGCATCCAGGTTTTTGTCCAGGAGGAGGAACTGTTGTACCTGCTACCGACATCCCCGTCAGGGCTGAACCCACAGCCGCCCCGGCACTGTAACTCAGCCTCTTTGGGGGAAAAAAAAAAAAAGATAAATATGGCAGAGACAGTAGTTGTCAATAATTTATCACAACCCAGTACAAGCTGTATATACAAAGAGAAGCTCTGGCGAAGGGTCGGGGCAGGGCTCGCTCCCCGGCCTCACTCCTCACGTCCGTCCCAGGGCAAAACCTCCCCTGGAGGCTCCTTGGTGACTGCTGCAGGACGTCCAGCTCTTCCCGATCCACCCACGCCAGCCAAAAAATAACGGTGTCCAGAGCCTGCAGCCTCCCGGGGGGGTGGCAAGCGAAGGATGTGTGCCCCCCATGCGGGTTTCACCCCTCGTGCCTCTAAGGCAGCCCGCGGGGAGCGTTCCCGTCCCCTCCTTGCCAACCCAGCGGGGTCACGGCCAGCTCGGTGGGCTCCCCCGCGCCCACGCAGCTAAATGAACACCGGTGTCACCCAAACGCTACCCACACGTCGCCTACGGGGTTGGGAGGGGGGGAAAAGCCCGTCCCCGGCGCTGTGCCCGGCCGCTCAGATTTTGATCTCAGTCCGGAAGGTTTGCTGGACGTGCTCGGTGTGCTTGGCGGGCTGCCGCCGTGCCCGGATGGTCAGCGTGCCGTCGTCCCCCAGAGAGGAGGACACCGACGTGGGGTCCACGTCCTCGGGCAGCTGGCACTTGTGGGTGAAGGTGTTCATGACGGTGCCGTCCCCGGCCAGCTGCGAGGGGAGAAGGGGAGGATGGAGGCTGCGAGCGGGGCCGGGGACGCTCTGTCCCCTGCCCTTGGGCGAGGCCTGCGGTCACGCCTTGTGTGCGGTGTTAATATTTATCTCCCTGCAGGTGTGGTGGCGAGGTGTGAGTCACCCCGAGGGACAATAGTGCCTTTTTTGGAGCTGCTGGGTGCTCCCGGGGGGGTTGAAATTCGGGGTGTGGGGAGGAACCACCTGGAAAAGGTGCGATCGTGGGACCAGCTTGTCTGACCTCGTGCACCGACACCTCGCGGGTGTGATGCGTGGGGACAAAACGATGAGGAAATAGTGAATTTAATCCCACCAGTCCTAAATTACGGCCAGGACCAGCGGGAGGTTGGGGGAGGGCGTCCCTATGTCCCCAGGCCAGCGTTGGGGACGGGATTTGGGGTCCGTGGGTGGGTGGGGTGGCGGTGGGGGCGCGCTCACCTTCTCGGCGTGCACCTCGATCTGGTTGTTGGAGGTGGTGACGATGATGTCCTCGGGGGCGAAGTCGCTGACGTCCACCGTGAACTGGTAGGTGTTGCCCAGGGTCTTAATGTTGCCGCTGCTGCCGGGCCGAGCTGGAGGGGAGCACGGGGTCAGCGCCTCCCTGTCCCCCTCCCCAAAAACAGTGCCCAGGGTCCTCTCGCCCCCCTCCGGTGCTGGCTTAGCCCCCCACAACCCTCCCGCTCCCCCAGATAACTCAGACACGTTTCCCACAGCTCCGGCTTTGATCCCCCAGCCCAAGCCCCCCGACCACCCTCGCCACTTGCCTGGGAAGCCCAGCGGCTCGCCACGGGGCCGGACGAAGCTCCCGAAAAGCTCCATGGGGCGAGCGGGCGACGACGACCGGCTGTGGTGGTGGAAGCTGTGCTCCGACCGGAAAGCAGACGAGGATTTCACGTTCATCCACCTCCCCGAGCGTCCGCAGCGCGGGAGGGGAGCGAAAGCGGCCGGCGAAGCCCCCTCCTCGGCCTCGCGGCGAAGACGAACGGGGCCGGCTATTTCGGGGGCGGCCGCCGAGCTTATAAAGCCCCGTTAGGCTCTCGGCCGCCTTCCAGACCTCTTGTAAAACCGGCTAAATTTAGGTCCTGCTACATCACTCTGGACACCGTGGAAATTTTTTCCTCTCTCCCCCCCCCCCCCCCCCTTCTCCCCGTCGCCGGCTCCGCTCCTCCCCGTCCCAAATCCGATGCCATTGCTGGCGTTCCTGCAGGCCCGGATAACGCGGGCTCCCGAAAACAGGAGGATGGGGAGGTGGCACCGGGGTATGTGGGGGGGAACGATGCCCCAAAAGGATGGGGGGGGGTTGGGGGAAAAATCCCCAAGGTGCCTTCCAGCGCGGCCGCGCCAGCCACGTGGAGTTTGTAGTAATAATAATAATAAAAAGTCATTAAAAGTGTCCTTGTGGGGACACGGGACTGGAGCGCGGCCAAGCTGGCGGCTGTGGCAGCACCCTGAGGGTGTTGGGGGGGGGGAATTCCCTGGGAGGGGGTCTCTGCCTTCCCCCCAAAACGTGGCCACATCCCGGGAAGCTTCCCCCCCACCCTAGGACGAGTGAGGCCGTATTTTGGGGCAGAAAAACAGGAGCTGGTGAGCAGCTCTGCGAGCAGACCATGTAAGGCTTTATTCCCCGTGCTGACCCGCCGGGCAGCGCTGCCAAGAAATGCGGGGGGGGGTGGGGGGGGGCTGTAACGTGAGTACCCCCCCCCGTGCTGAGTAATTTCGGCGGGCGCCTGAGTCACCCTTGGCTCTTCCCTTGCACGGAGATGCTTCGAGGCCAAAGCATCGCCGAGGGCTGGGGGGCTGCAGCCTTCCCCAAAGCCCCCCCAGGCTGGGTTGGATTTGCCCCCCCCCCCGGGGCGTATTCGGAGGCTGAAACCCTCCCCGCTCCGCTCCGGCTGGCTCCAGCCCGCGCGGGTCCATCCACCTCGTCAAGGTCGTTTTTAATGAGCTTGTTTGCAAACTCATTTCCACCATGGCACAGGCAGAGCCCGCAGCACCGGCCGGGGCAGCCCCCGGTCCCCAAAACGTCCCCAGGATGGAGCCCCCCAGCCCCGAGGTGCCCCCGGGGGGGCTGCAGGAGGAGCAGAGGGTGCTGGTGTCGGCGCACAGCTGGCGGCCCTGCCCCAAAACCCGCAGGAGGCTCCGAGGTGAGACCCTCACCCCTTGTTTTGGCCACCTTGGGGCGGTTTTATTTGGGGGTGGGGGGGCTGTAGCACCCCTTTGGACCCCCCCCCTCGCCCCGCAGGGTGCCTGGAGCTGGTGAAGCGTCAGCTTTTCCGCGTGGGCGAGGACTGGTATTTCCTCTTCGTGCTGGGGGTCCTCATGGCCCTCATCAGCTTCATGATGGACTTCATCGTCTTCAGGCTCTACGAGGGTAACGAGGGGCTCGAGCCCCAAAACCGGGCAGTGGGATGGGGAGGGAGGCTTGGGGGGGGTGTCTCCGGGGGCAGCCCCCCTCCCGGCACTTCTTCTGCAGCCCACCGGTGGCTCTACCAAGAGGTTGGGGATTATTTGGTGCTCAAGTACCTCTCGTGGACCATCTACCCCGTGGCCATGGCCGCCTTCTCCACCGGCTTCTCCCAGAGCATCACGCCGCATTCGGGAGGTGAGCGGGCACCCCCCGGCCTCCCCACACCACCCCCATTGTGGGGAACCCCCAAAACTTGGAGCCCCCCCCCCAAACTTGGAGTTCCCCAACTTTGGAACCCCCAAACTTTGGAGGGCCTCACCAGGAGGGCCTCACCAATATGGAGCTCCCCAGCCTTGAAGATACCCCCCCCAATAAATTTGGAGCTCCCCAATCTTGGAACCCCTAAAATTTGGAGCTTCCAAAAGTTGGACCTCACCCAAATTTGGAGCCCCCACAACCCAAGCTGAGCTGGTGCCACTTTCTCCCCCACCAAGGCTCCGGCATCCCCGAGCTCAAGACCATCCTGACCGGCGTGGTGCTGGAGGAGTACCTGGCCATCAAAAATTTCGGGGCCAAGGTGGTGGGGCTGACCTGCACCCTGGCTTGCGGCAGCACCATTTTCCTCGGCAAAGTGGTGAGCAGGGAATTCCCGCTGGGAATTTTGCCGGGGGCTCAGCCCCGCAGCCACTCAGCACCACGTCCCCTCCGCGTCCCCAGGGTCCCTTTGTGCACCTCTCCGCCATGGCCGCGGCGTACCTGGGGAAGATGCGGACATCGGTCACGAGGGAGTATGAGGTGGGGGAGCTGCTGGGATGTTGTTTTTTTTTTTTTTTAATAATTTCCCTTCAAAAAACAGGGGATTTTGGTTAACCCTCCCCTCCTCCTCAGGACAAATTCAAGCAGAACGAGATGCTGGTGGCAGCGCAAGCCGTCGGCGTGGCCACAGTTTTCGGGGCGCCCATCAGTGGTGAGGGACCCTCCCCAATCCTTCCCGAAGCTGAGGACCCCCCGGAGCCCTCCCTGAGCGGGTCCCCCCCCGTTTTTCCAGGGGTGCTGTTCAGCATCGAGGTGATGTCGTCGCACTTTGCCGTGCGGGATTACTGGCGTGGCTTTTTCGCCGCTACCTGCGGTGCCTTCATGTTCCGCCTCCTCGCCGTCTTCAACAGCGAGCAAGGCAAGGCCGGGCAGGATGCGGCCCCCCCAGCACCTCCCGGCCCCCCCTCAAAACCCCTCCCGCCTCCCCAGAGACCATCGCGGCGATTTTTAAGAGCGACCTCAAGATTGATTTCCCCTTTGACCTGCCGGAGACTTTCTTCTTCATGATTTTGGGGTAAGGGGGGACCTGCTGGGGACGGGGTCCTGCGCACACCCTGCCCTGTGTTCTGCATCTGCCCTGCCCGTACCCTGCCTGTGTTCTACCTGTATTTTTTTCATACCCTGCCTGCGCCCTGCCTGCACGCTGCCTGCACGCTGCCCTCTCCTCCCCAGGGCCATCTGTGGAGCCATCGCCTGCGCCTACCTCTTCTGCCAGCGCTGGCTGCTGGCGGCCGTCAGGGAGAACCGGCTGACGGGCAGGCTGCTGGCTACCGAGTCCGTCCTGGGTGTCCGTGTGTCTGTCCCACGTGTCCCCAAACCCCCCGCGTGTCCGTGTGTCCCCCCCCAGTACCTCCCTGTGCCCTCTCCGTGCGCCCCACACCCCCACACGTCACCGTGCCACGTCCTCGCCTCCCACCCCCTGTGCCCAAACACCCCCCCACCCGTCCAAGCGTCCCCCTAGCGTGTCCGTGTGTCCCACCCCCCACGTCCACACACCTCCCCCATCCCGTGTCCGTGTGTCCGTCTGTCCCAGCCACCCCCTCTCCCCCCCCAGCAAGCCCCTGTACTCGGCGCTGGTGGTGCTGCTGCTGGCCTCCATCACCTTCCCTCCGGGCCTGGGGCAGCTGATGGCCTCCAGGGTGAGCAGGGGCTTGGGGGGGCTCCCCCCGCCACCCCCCACCCGACCCCCTGCTCATGCCATCTGTCCGTCCAGCTGTCCATGAAGGAGCACCTCATCTCGCTCTTCGACAACCGCACCTGGGGGGTGCTGGCCCAAAACGCCTCGGTGCCCCCCGCGGTGCCCGGGGACCCGCGGCGCCTGTGGCAGGAGTGGAGCCACCCCTCCGCCACCATTTTCGGCACCTTGGCCTTCTTCCTGCTGATGAAGGTAGCCCCGGCCCCCCTTGTGCCCCCCCCCAGCACCACCAGGTGCTGTCCCCATGGGGACTAGCCCCCCGCCCCTGTGCTGTGGCCCCTCCCCAGTTCTGGATGCTGACCCTGGCCACCACCCTGCCCCTGCCCGCCGGGTACTTCATGCCCATCTTCATCTACGGTGAGCCTGGGGGGGGGCACACCCAGCCCCGGGGTGCATCTGGTCCAGGGGGGGCACAGGGGGTGCATGGAGCCCTGGGGAGAGGTACGGGGGGTGCACCCAGCCCCGGGGTGCATCTGGTTTTGGGGGGGTGCCGTCTCTCTGGGGGGGTGGGGGGGTGCATGTGGCCCTGGGGGGGGGTTCACAAGTTGTGTGGGATTTCCATCCTGGGGGGAAATGGGGGAGGGGAGGCTGTGTCATTTCGGGCGGGGGGGGGGGGGGACACATGGGGGAGAGGGTGTCCATGCTGGGAAGGGTGGGTACCTGCAGCCCCTTTGGGGGGGGTGATACCCAGCCTTGGGGGGGTGCATCTGGCCCTGCTGGGGGCACAGCCTGGGGGAGGGGGGTGCATCCATCCATCCATCCACCCCCTGGGGGTCCTCGGGGGCTTCTTCCCCCCTCCCACCCCCCCAACCCCGCAGGAGCTGCCATCGGGCGCCTGATCGGGGAGGCCGTGGCCTTGCTCTTCCCCCACGGCCTCCGCGTGGAGGCCACCACACACCCCATCGTCCCCGGGGGCTACGCGCTGGCCGGTAAGTCGGTGACACTGGGGACAGGGGACGGGGACGGCAACGTCCCCAACCCTACACCAATGCCACCCCCCCGGGGGGGCCGTGCCGTAGGAGCCGCCGCCTTTTCGGGGGCCGTCACCCACTCCATCTCCACCGCCCTGCTGGTGTGCGAGGCCACCGGGCACCTGGCCCACGTCCTGCCCGTGGTCCTGGCCGTGCTGGTGGCCAACGCCATCGCCCAGAAGTGCCAACCCTCCTTCTACGACGGCACCATCATTGTCAAGAAGCTGCCCTACCTGCCCCGCATCCGCAGCCGGCACATGGCGTGAGACCCATCCCCAGCTCCCCGCGGGGGCTGTTTTGGGGGGAAATCCCTGAAAAGTGGGGAAAATCGGGTTTTTGTCCCCGTTCTCCAGCTCCTACCGGGTGGTGGTGGAGGAGTTCATGGATCGGCGCGTCGTGGCCGTGGCCAAGGGCGATGGCTTTGAGGAGGTGCTGGCAGCCCTCAGCGCCACCACCGATGGGGAATTCCCCGTGGTGGAGAGCGCAGGTAGGGCGCGGGCACCCCGGGGGCGTGGTGGCCATGGGGACACCTCACCTGGTGGCCGTGGGGACACCTCACCTGGCTCGTGTCCCCCCCCCAGAGTCACCCACGCTGGTGGGCACCGTCAGCCGAGCCCGGCTGGTCGCCTTCCTGCAGAGCCACGAGCACCCACGGGCACCCCCAGGGGCGCTGCAGGAGAAGGTGAACCCGAGGCTCCCACCGCACCCAAAGGAGAGGTTTTTCCACCCAAAAAAATTAACATTTCACCTTCTGCCCCCCCCTGCAGCCAGCCTCCATGGGGACAGTTGGGGACGACTGCGCCATCGAGCCCGTCATGCTGCAGCTCTCGCCCTGGACCTCGCTGCACCAGGTTTGGGGTGGGGGCAGGCGGCACCAAGCCCCCCCCTTCCCCAAATTTCGGCTTTGTCCCCATGTGTCCCCCCCCACCCTGCAGGCACACCACCTCTTTGAGCTGCTGAAGCTGCAGCACATCTTCGTCACCCGCTACGGGCAGCTGGTGGGGGCTGTCACACGCGCTGAGGTGGGACACGGGGGGGGGGACACGGGTGAGGGGGGGACACCTGGGGGTGGGGGGACACGGGGGGACAGTGCCCGTCCCACCACCTCTTTCCCCCTGCAGCTGCGGAGAGCGATCGAGGAGCTCGCCAACCCCAAGTGACCGCTGTTCCCGCTGCTCCGCTTTCACCATTAAATGTTTTTTTTGGGGCCATTTGGTTAATTTTGGCACGGCGACAGAGGGGGCCACCCCAAAACACCCCCCCCCTCTCCCCCTTTTCCCCCCAGCATGGAGGGAGCAGCTCGGTCCTGGGGGTGAGGGCGCAGTGCATCCAACCCCCTTTGATGCCAAACCTTTGGTTTTGGGGTCACTGGAGCCCTGTGGGATTTGGGGACAGCAGGGTGGGCTGTCCCAGCCTTGTGCCCATGCTGCCCCCCGTCCCTGTCTGCCTCAGTTTCCCCTTTGCTGGGAGCAGGGGATGTGTGGGGCCGGCTCTCCAGCAGAGTGTGCTCGTGCGTTATGGACACGGGCACAAACCCCATAAACCCAAACCCATAAATGCACAAACCCAAAACCCATAAACCCGAACCCAGAGGTGCACAAACACCCGTGACACCTCCTCCTCCTCCTCCTACCCCCACCTGCGGCTGCCGGGCTTTCGGGGGTGCACGCGCCATTTGGGGGGTGCAATTAGCATCGCCTCATTAAGCTGCTGCAGTGCTAATTGGAGCCTGGGCTTTCCACAATCACTGCAGCTGTTTGTAGGGCTTGGGTTGGGTGGGGGCTGCGGACCAGCCAGCGGAGTTTGTGTGTGTGGGGGGGGTGTCTCCCCACAGCCAGGGTTATCCAAATACTCAAAAACCCCCAAATCAGCCCAAAATCATTCTCCTATCTCAGCAACGGGGTCATTCCCCCCACTCCCCCAGGGCCATCCCCCTGTAACGGGGCCACCAGCTTGGCTGTGGTCCCCCCCCCCAAATCTCTGCAGAGCCCCGTAATTATCAGCACCCTTATTTGCATAATTAGCCTTAATTATTGCAATTAAACGTGGCGGGGGTTGTGCAACCCCCAGCTGCTGTCCTGGGCCCTGGGGGCTCCCCTGAGCCCCCCCTCCAAGCCCTTTGCCCCAGCGCAGGCGGTGCCGTGGGCTCCCCAAAGTGGGGTGCAGCGTTTCGGGGAGGGGAAGGCGCAGCGAGACGCTAACGAAGGCGGCACAATTAATCCCGGGCAAGCCCGAACCCAGCCGGAGGAGAGGTGAAATGGGGTCAGCGCCAGGGGAACACCCAAAAAGCGGGGCGGGAAGCTGGGTGCTGGCAGCCCCGAGGGGGTTGCGGGGGCCGGAGGTGCTGGGTGGGGTGGGGGAGAGGCAGCACCCGAGGAGGGTGCTCGGGGGGGTTGAGGACACCCAGGGGTGACGGTGCCGCAGCACCCACAGCGCTTGGGAAAGGGGCTGAACGGGGATGGGGGCCATGGCACCCATATGGTGCACCCAGGGGTGGTGCTCAGCGGGGTGAGGGCACCCTAGGGTGACGGGAACAGCACCCAAAGCCCTGCGGAAAGGTGCTGAGCAGGGCAGGGGGACCCCGACACCCACAGCACCCATGGGTGATGCTTGGGGGTGGGGGGCAAGGAGACCACGTAGAGGGAACCACAGCACCCAAGGGTGGTGCTCAGGGGGTCCCCGTGCCCCCAGCCCCCGGGGATGGGGCTGGAGGGTGCTGGGCACGCAGCACCCCCAGCACGGGGAAGGATGCGCCCGTAGCGCCCACAGGAGGTGGGCAGGGGGGCAAGGACATCATGGGGTAACAGAGCCCAGCACCCAGGGGGGGGGCTTGGTAGGGTGGGGTTCAGCACCCCCGGGGAAGCCCCCGCCCAGCTCCCCATGCGTCACCCCCGCGGGGCTGGGGAGTTTCACCGAAACTTCGCGCGGGGAGGGGAAACCGAGGCACGGCGGCACCCGGGCACCCGCCGGGCGGGGCGGCTCGCTGCAGGGCGCAGCGCCAAGCAGAAAGGAAAAAGGGGTAAAAAAGCACCCGACCGATGCTTTTGCAACCATCCCGCAACCACACGGCCTCGTCCCCGTCCTCCCCCCCCTTCTTCCCCTTGTGGTTTTGGGGAAAAAAAATTAAAATTGCTTTTTCCGGCTTTTTTTCCCCTACCCGGTTATTTGCAGGCACCGGGCAGCCGGCCCCGCTCGTGCTTAGCAAAATAAAAATCCCAAATTCCTCAAGCGGTTGGGAGAAAGGAGGCCCCAGCCGGGAAATGCATGCAAACGCTTGCAAAATACTTAAAAATCTTAAAACCGCCTTAAAAACCAAAAATAAAAGCTTCCCCCCGCCCCAGCTCTACGTCCCAAACCCAAATCGCTGCTGGCAGCTGCCCGATGACACAGTTGTAGAAAAAGAGCACAAAAGTTTTATTCAAATCAAACTCAGTTTCATGAAAATCCCATAAAATCCATTAAAAAGGGGGGGAAAAAAACCCCAAACCTGCCCCCCTCTTTTTCTTCTCTCCCCTATTATCTTCCCCAAATCTGAAACCTCTTTGATTTTTCTCAATAAATATACAAAAATATAATAAATTACGTTAAAAAACAAAAAAAAAAATACAAGAGGTAACACTGCTCATCAGCGTTAAGGTGGAAAAAAAACCAACCCAGCGTCGGGAGAGGAATAAATAGGTGAAAAAAAAAAAAAAAAAAAGGCAAAAATGGAGAGTTTAGGGCCAAGCCACCCACAAAGCATCCAGGAGCACCTGGCTCAGCCCTATTTTTTTTTCCTTGAAATGCAGAAAAAAAGAGGAAACTCCCCCATAATAAGGCCGCCCCCCCCCCAACCAAGTGCAGGCTTGAAATTTAATTTTTGGGGGGTTTCGCCCCCGTTTTGTCCCGGGGATGGCGATGCCCGAGTGGCAACATCCCCCTGGTGCGGGAAATAATATTAATATTATTATTAACAATAATAAAAACCTTAAAAATAATAAAAATAATAAATAATAAGGTGGGGGGGGGGGAGGCTGGGGGTCTTCATTTTGCACGCTGGGGTCCGTGGGGGGGTCAGATGGGGATGCCCGTGGTGCAGAGCTGCTCCTGCAGCCCCAGCAGGCTGTAGGCGATGCGCTTCTGGTGGCCGGGCAGGCGCACGCCGATCTTCTTGATGTCGCTGCGGGGAGGGAAGGGGGGGGTGTTATGGAATGAGGGAGGGGGTTCTGGGGCGAAAACAGCCCCAAAAAGGGTCCGGCTTGGAAGGGTGCTTGGGGGTGGTCCGATCCTGAGCGTGGTGGGGATTGGGGGGGGGTGGATCCTGCCCTAAACAGCCCCAGGTTGGATCCAGCCCCGAGCATCCCCCAGGGGCAGAGCCAGACCCAAACTTTACCCAGGACCAGATCCAGCCCCAAGCATCCCCTGGGGGCAGATCCAGCCCCGAGCACCCCCCCTGCCTGACCCCAGAACGGAGCCAGCCCCGAGCATCCCACGGTGCCAAATCCAGCCCCGAGCATCCCCCATTTTCGGGGCCCCAGGACTCACTCGCTGGTCATCTGCAGCACCTTCTCGATGGTGCTGTAGCCCGCGGCCATGAAGTGCTCGGCGTACTGGTGCATCTTGATGGACTCGAGCCACTCGGGCACCGAGCGGAACGGGACGCCCTCGGAGCCGCTGGTGCTGGGCAGGCGGATGGAGACCCTGCGGGGATGGGGCCGAGGAGATGGTGTGACGTGCAGGGAAGGGCAGGGGGCAAACCCACAGTGCGGAAATGCAGGGATGCAAAGTCATGCAAAGATAAAGAAAAGTATATAAAAAAATGAAAAAGGCTGGGAAAAAAATAAAAAATGATGCGGGTTTGGAAGGATGCAAAAACAATGCAGGAGGGCACAGATTGGAAAGAAGTCATGCAAAGAAATGGAAGGATGTGGAAAAAAAGTAATGCAAAGAACAGTGGAGAGGTGCAAAGTTAGAGAAAGCAATGCAAAAATGGTAAGCAGAAAAAAACACAAACAAAAAACAAAAACACAAAAAACAACCCACGCATGCGAACACAATGGCAAAAGGTAAAGATGCTGAGATGCAAAATTTAGAAGTGACAGTGCAAAGATGCCAACGGTAAGGCAAAAGCCCAACTGTAAAGAAAAGGTAGTGCTACAATGCAGAAGTATAATGCAAATAACGGGAAAATTTATATATAAAAGAAAAGTGAGATGCAATGCAAAGTTCCCCAGGTACCAAGATGTGAAAAAGAGCACATAAACGTGAGGATGCGGAGAGTAATAGAAAAAGTAGAAATGCAAAACAATAAGGCAAGAACGTTAAAAGGCAAGAAACAATGCAAAAATTGCAAATGTAATTAAAAAAAAAAAAAAAGGAAGCTAAAAATGCAGATATACAGGAGGCAAGGATGCAAAAAATGCAAAAGGTGAACGTAAAAGCAATGCAAGAGTGTAAAGATGCAAAAAAAATGAAGGCAGGAACAGAAAACTACAAAAATCAATGCAAAAGGCAAGGATGCAAAGAAAAGGCAGAAAAATGCAAAGATTCAAAAAGCAATGCAAGAATGCAAAGATGCAAAATCCAATTTAAAAGTGCACAGATGCAAAGATGCCAAAAAGGCAAGAATGCAAAGCTGCAAAAGCAGTGCAAGAATGCAGAACTGCAAAAAACAAATCTTAAACTGCACAGATGCAAAGGAGTGTGCAAGAATGCAAAACCATGCAAAAGTGCAGACTCAGAAGAAGCATGCAAGAATGCAAAATTGCAATAAGCAAGGCGCAAATGCAAAGATGCAAAAGAGCATGCAAGAGTGCAACACTACAAAAACAACACAAAGATGCAAAAGAAGCATGCAAGAATGCAAACCTGCAAACAAAACAAAACAAAGCACAGATGCGAAAGAGTATGCAAGAGTGCAAAGCTACAAAAACAGCGTAAAAATGCAAATATGCAGAAGCAGCGTGCAAGGACGCAAGCCTGCAAAAAGCAAGGTGCGGATGCAGAACAGCACAAAGAGTGCAACACTGCAAGAACATTGCAAAGATGCAAAAGAAGCCTGCAAGAACAGCAAAAAGGCAGAAAGGGGGGGATGCAAAAGCTCATGCAAGCCTGCACCACCTGCAGAACGCCCTCCCCTCCCCTCCCTATTTTTCTCTCTCCCCTTCCCCTCCCTGCAGCTCACCGCGGGTCGAAGTCTGCCAGTGTCTTGAGCGACTCGGGGGCGCGGATGAGCTTGTCGAGGATGCTGACAACGTCGGCAAATTTGGGGCGCCGGCTGCGCTCCTGCTGCCAGCACTGCATCATCAGCTGGTAGACGGCCGAGGGGCAGTCCAGCGGGGCGGGCAGGCGGAAACCCTCGTTGATGGCCTTCATCACCTGCAAGGGCGCAGGGCTCGAGGGGAACATCCCAAAAAAGCAAGGTCGCCACCAAGAATGGGGTTGGAGGGATACCTGCGCTCACCTCGTGGTTGGAGAGCTCCCAGTACGGGCGCTCGCCGTAGGACATCACCTCCCACATGACGATGCCGTAGCTCCAGACGTCGCTGGCGGAGGTGAACTTGCGGTAGGAGATGGCCTCGGGCGCCGTCCAGCGGATCGGGATCTTCCCCCCCTGTGCAGCCACCACCAAAATTGCCCGGGTGCGAGGAGGAACGAGGAAAGGAAAAAAAAGTGAGGATGTCAAAAAGCAAGAAACAACGCAAAAATTGTGATGGGAAAAGGACGCTAAAGCGCAATGATGCCAAGATGCAAAAGGGAAGGCAAGAATGCAAAACGGCTCCAAAAATAAATAAATAAACAGCCATCCAGCCCCCCAAAATCCCTCGCTGGCACTCACGCTGGTGGTGTAGGTGGCTTCAGGGTCATCCTCCAGCACCCTGGAGAGCCCGAAGTCGGACACCTTGCAGACCAGGTTGCTGTTGACCAGGATGTTGCGCGCGGCCAGGTCGCGGTGCACGTAGTTCATGTTGGCCAGGTACTTCATGCCGGCCGCGATGCCCCGCAGCATGCCCACCAGCTGGATCACGCAGAACTCCCCGTCTTTGTCCTGAAAGAGGAGAAACCATCCCCAAATCCTCCTCTCGCCCCTCCAGAGCTGTGGTCGGGGCTGGGACCCTTTTCCCGTGGTGGATTTGGGGGCTGAAGCCCTGCTAATCCCAGCCCGGGGCGATGGGATTCCCGCACGCATCGCCTACCCGCAGGAATTTGTCCAGCGCGCCGTTCTCCATGTACTCTGTGATGATCATGAAGGGTTTGTCTGTGGAAAAAGAGCCAAAAACGGGTCAGAAAACCTCAAAACCCCATGACTCCGAGCACGTGGGGGTGCATGTGAGATCAGCGCTTTTTTGGCAGGTCTAGCGAGCTTTTTTTTTTTTTGCAGGGAAATGGTGGGATTTATTTGGAAGGGGGGGGACACTCACACTTGGAGACGACCCCCTCGAGGCGGATGATGTTGTGGTGGCAGAACTGGCCCATGATGCTGGCTTCGCTCAGGAAGTCCACCCGCTGCTTCTCCGTGTAGCCCACCTTCAGGGTCTTGATGGCCACCGGCACCTCCTTCTTGCCACGTTTCAGGGTGCCCTTGTAGACCTCCCCGAATTCACCTGCCCGAAGGAAGGGGGAGGTTCAAAACCTGTCCCCTTCGTCCCCTTCCCTGGCTCAGGGACAGGCAGGGGACAGAGCCCCGTGGGGACCTACCGGCGCCGATGACCTTCTGGCGGGTGATGGAGGACGGAGAGATCTCGGTGGTGAACTTGAGCATGGCTTGGTTGGGGTCTTCATAGGTGTGTGGGTCCACGTAGGTCTTGAGTGGCTTCAGCTGGTCTGCTGGGGGGGGGCAGGAGCCGTGTCACCCCCGACCTGTCCCCACCATGTCCCACCTGTGCCACCACCGAGCCCCCACCCCAAGCCCACCACCCCGGTGCTCACCAGACTTGGAGAAGTAGACGTCCTCGGGGGACTGGCGTGACCGCGAGCTCCTCCTCCTGCAGGAAAGCAGTGTTTTGTCCCAAAACTCACCTCAGCGGTGGAAAAAATTGGGATTTTTTTTTTTTTTTTTAAGTCTCTCCCTACCTCCGGAGGACGTAGATGAGAGCAGCCAGGAGGAGGACAACAAAGAGGACGCCGGTGACGGAGCCGCTGATGACTGCAGCAGATGCCATGGACTCGGCTCCTGCAGGGACAGTTGGAGCCGTGCGCACCCCATAGCACCCCCCAAAACTAACAAACCACCGACAACCCCCCCCAAAAAAAAAACAACAAAAACATTCCTTACCCTCAGGCAGCGTCTCAAACTCGTGCTCGGGGCTGAAGGCGCCGTGGCCGTCCTGGGTGAGCGCCTGGACCCTCACCACGTAGGCGGTGGCGGGGGACAGCTTGGGGATGGTGACGGAGGCGCCCTCGCAGCGCAGCACCGAGTAGCTGTTCTCATCCACCTGGGGAAATGGGGACACGGTGAGGGCGAGGGGGTTTTTGGGGAAGGACACGAGGTGGGACGAGGATGGGACGTTGCTGGTGGCACCTTCTTGCTGTAGGTGACCTCGTACTTCCAGACCCGGCTCTGCTGCCGCAGCGGCACCGTCCAGGAGAGGACCAGGCTGGTGGCCGTCCGCCCGTCCAGGCTCACCGACGTCACCCGTGGTGGCTCTGCCGTGGGGACAGGGGTGTCAGGGAGGTGGTGGCACCTCCACGGTGGTGGCACGGCAGGGACCCCACCCCGGGGGCCCTCCTTACCCGTCTGGTTGACGCTGATGCTGGCAGCGGCCACGCTGCGGTGGGCGCTGAAGGCCGAGACGCCGTTGCGGGCTTCGACGGTGAAGGTGTAGTTGACGTGGGGCTCCAGGTCGGTGACCGTCACCCCCGTCCCCACCAGCCCCCGGGGGGGCTGCGAGTAGCGGATGCCCCCGTCGCAGGGCCGGCACTCGCCGCTCTCGGGCCAGCACTGCTCGCAGGTGACGCTGTAGGTGACGTCCTGCCGGCCACCCGTGTCGGAGGGGGGGGACCAGCGCAGCTGCACGGAGGCCCCCAGCCCCACGGCCGTGACGCTGCTCGGGGGCGAAGGAGGACCTGGGGACACGGAGCAAGGCGGTGGTGGTGTTAGGGGGGGCTCAGGGCACGGAGGTGCCACCCCGCACCCCATGATCCACCCCCGTGTCCCCAAAATGCCACTCACGGGTGCACGGCGCATCGGCAGGGTCGGAGGGGGCGCGGAAGTGCCCGTCCTCGCAGGGGCAGGAGGCGGAGGCGGCCGGGGCGGGCAGTGTGTGTGCGGGGCAGGGCTGGCAGCCGCTCGGGGACACCTCGGCCTTGAAGGTGCCAGGGGGACAAGCTGGGGGGGGGCACACAAAAACAGCAGGAAAGTCAGTGGCCGGGTCCCTGTCCCCAACCCAAGCATCCTCACCAGCTCCCGGGCACGCGTCACCCTCAGAGCATGTCAATTTGGGAGTTTTGGGGAGTTTTGCCTTATTGTTATCCACCGTGGGGGGGGTGGACCCCCAATATCAACCCGTGCCTCCACTTGGGGGAACGCTCCCCTTGGCCCACCCCTCTCCACCTGACGCGCTCAGTGCACCAGGGATGCTCCAAGGGTGCCCCCAGGGGTGTTGGGGATGCCCAAGGGTACCCCAAGAGAGATGAAGACCCCCAAAGGTGCCCCCAGAAGGGAGGGACGGCTTGCAGGTCACTCACCAAGACGGGGCACCCCCAGCCCCACGCCACCCTTCCATCCCCAGCGTCCCCACCACTACCAGGGATGCCCCCAGCTCCTCACCTTGGCACTGGTCGCCCACGGCCTCGTAGCCGGCCCGGCACTGGCACTGCCCGATGGGCACCAGCCACTCCCCGTCCGCGTTGCAGTGCAGCGTGGGCGCCTCGTCGGCCACCGCGTCCTCCACGCAGGAGCCCCGCACCTCCGCCAGGGTCTGCGAGTCGGCGCCCGCCACCGTCTCGGGGAAGTGCGCCATGCCCCGCAGCACGGCCGGGCACGTCTTGTAGTAGATGCGGACTGAGAGCAGAGCCACGCAGGCGCCCAGGTCTTGGAAAGCCAGGTAGAAACCTTTCCTCCGCAGCGGTCCCACCGAGCGCACCTCCACGTTGAGCTTGACGTTGCGGTTGGTGAAGTCGTCCTGCACCGTGATCTCGTCCGGGGCGATGGTGTCGATCTTCTTGAACTGCCGCTTCTGGAAGTTGGTGCCGTAGTCGACGTCGGACTCGGCGTAGTAGAGGTTGAAGGTCTCCTTGCAGGAGCCGCCGCCGCTGGGGAAGCTGTTGCAGTCGCGGACGGTGAACTTGAGCTCGATGAAGACGCGCTGGGCCTCGCTGCGGTAGATCCAGTTGGTGCGCAGCCAGTTCTCCTGCTCGCCCTCCAGCACGTTGCACACCAGGTACATGTAGATCTGCGAGTCGTTCATCATGTTCTGCAGCAGGTCCCACTGCGCCGCACAGAGAAACGGGGTTCTTGGTGCTGCCACCACCACGGCCCCTCAGGGGGAAACTGAGGCAGGGGGTGCAGTGCCCCCCAGTCCTCATCCCCATGGATGCCTCCATCCCCAGCCCCATGGATGCTCCTCATTCTCATCCCCATGGCTGACCTGTCCCCATGGATAGTCCCATCTCCATCCCTGTCCCCATGGATAGCCCCCCGGTCCCCATGGATCCACGCCCACTTGCATCCCGATGGAGGTCCCCATCCCCAAGGCTGCCCCCGTCCCCATCCGCAGCGTTGCCCCCCAGGTGCTCACCCCTTTTCCGTAGGGCTGGGTGAGCCAGCCCAGCTCCCCCTGGGCCTTGGCGAAGTCCAGCAGGACGACTGTGGGGAGAGGAGAGGGCTGTTAGTGGGGTGAGCAGGACGCCAGGGAGATGCCACCAGGACCCACAGATGCCCCCAAGGAACCAGATGGACCCTCTTGGATCCATGGGTGTCCTCCAGGATCCATGGATGTCCCCAGACCCATACTATATATCCTTGGGACCCACGGAAGTCCTCTGGTTCCACAGATGTCCCTTGGACCCATGGGTGCCCACCAGGACCCACAGACGCCCCTACCAAACCCAGATGCCCCCCAGGACCCACAGATGTCACCAGAACCTGCAGATGCCACCAGCACACCCAGAAGCCCCTGGCACCCACAGATGTCCCCAGAACCCACATGGATACACCCCTGGGACACACGGGTGCCACCAACAAACCCAGATGTGTCCGGGACCCATGGGTGTCTCAGGGACCTGGGGGTGCTCCAGAGACCCACAGATGCCCCCAGGACCCACAGAAGCCCACCAGGACCTGTGCGCATACCCCAAGGAAGCCTCCAGGACCCACAGATGCCACCAAGCCACCCAGATGCCCCTTGACCCACGGATGCCCCCTAAAGCCCCTGGGACCCTGGCTGAGCTCGGGGCGCCCCAGCTCTCCATGGGACCCCCCCCCATGCCACCCCCCCCGTGTCTCCTGGGGTCAGGCAGGACGTGGGGCTGGGGGAAGCGGCGAGCCCCGGCACGCCGAGGGCGGTGGCCGGATCCTGCACCGGGGCCGGGGGAGGAAGAGGAGGCCACGGCCGGGGCGGAAGCGCCATGAATCAGCCCCAAGGAATGCGCCCGGCTTCGTGCCCGACACGGCCCTGGGGGAGGTGGGGGGCTTTGGGGATGCGCCCCCCGGTGCCCCCCCCACCCCTCACCCCAGCTTTATGGGGCAGGTGCTGAGAATGGGAAACTCGTGACACCTCCAGCCCCGTCCCCCCCCTGCCGCCAGCCAGGAAGGATGCCGGGCACCTCCCGGCCTTCCTGCGGCTGGAATTCCCCCCAGAAAGCGGAAACGCAGCAGGGGGGGAGTTTGTGGGGTCCCCCCCTGCGCCCCCTCCCCCCAGCAGTGACTCAGGGCAGGGACCTGGGGCTGAGTCAAGGGGTGCAGCCGGGGTGTGCCCGCTGCCAGTGCCCGCGGCCGCCCCGTCCCAGCCCTGCACCGCCGCTGTCACCGCAGCCCCCAGGCACCTGCAGGGCCCTGGCCACCTTCATCACCATCATCATCATCACCGCAACCCCCACGTGCAGCCCCATCCCCATCCCCATTCCCCCCTCGCCCCCACTCCGTGCCCTGAACCCCCCAACCCACAGGCACTGACCCCAACCGTGGCGCAGGATCCGGCCCCAGCCTCCCCTCTGTAGCCAAAATTTCATTGAGGGGGGGAACAGGGGGGGGGTCTCGGCCCCCTTCCTGCCCCCCAACCCCAACCGATCACCCCCAGCTCCCAGCCACCTCAAAACTTTGCCGTCTTTTACCGGTTTTGCCCCAAATCTGATCCCTCCGAGCCCCCAGGAACCCACCTGGGGACTCCCCGAATCCCATCCACGGCCCCAGCTGGGGGGGCTCTTGAGATTTTTTTTTTTGCCCATTTTCCCCTTTTCCCGTGGATTTCCCTCCCCCAGCCACCCACCAAGCTCCCGGTTATTTGCATTCGCTGCGGTCGGGGCCGGATTCTTTCGCCCTTCGCTCTCTGGGAGTTTGCGGCTCCCCCAGGAAAAAATAACCAGCCTTTGCTTCCCCCCACCCCGATTTGCCCAAAACCCCCCGAACTGAGCCCAAACCACCCCGGGGAGCTCGGTAGGAGGGGGGGAGCAAGGTGGGGGCCGGGGCGCAGCTTGTTTTTCCCAGCACTTTTCGGGTTTTCCTGACATTGTTCTCCAGCTCCGCGGCCGGATCCTGCCCGGGGAACCTTCCTTTTAGTTTTATTTTTATTTGAATTTGAGGATTTTGGGGGCTGGATTTTTCAATTTTTGGCTAAACTTCTGCCTCCCCTCCGCCCCATTTTATTATTTTAAGGGGTTCGCAAGGTGGGGGGGTGGGGGGGGAAGGAGTCCCCACTTTTTGCCCACCAGCTCCAACTTTTTTTTTTTTTTTAATTTTTTTTTTTTTTTTTTAGGGGGGGCGCAGCCCGGCCTCGGGCAAGGAGCGGCCCCAAGCCCCCCCGGTGGGGCCGTGGCAGTTTTGCCCTATTCGGCCTTTCTCCCCCCCAAAAAAGAAGCGCTCCCCACCTTCTCCCCCAGATCCCTCCCAGCCCACGGGTGCTCCCCTAGGGCTCACCCCCCAGCCAAAAAAACCACCAAACCCCCCCTTTTTTGACCATTTTCACCCCCCTCAGCCTCCCAACTCCCCCCCCACCTCCCTGCGCCGAACCCAAAAGTTGCCAAACTTCCCCAAAAGCCGCGAAGTCCCCGATCCCCGACCTCCAGCACCCTGCGAGCACCCGGGGGTGCTGTGCGGGGGAAGGGGGGGGTGCGGAGCCTCTCCGCAGCCCCCCCCCAACCCCAAAACCTCCCCCCAAAAAATAATAAAAAAATTTAAAAAAAATAAAAAAATTAAAAAAATAAACTCGGGGCCGCGCTCACCTTCCTTGGGGGCGGCGGGGGCGAGGAGGAGGAGGATGGCGAGGAGGAGGAGGGGGCTGAAGGCTGCCGGGGGAGCCGCGGCCATGGCGGGGGTCGGGGGGTGCCCGGGGCTCCCCAGCTCCGCGCCAGCCCCGCGGGAGCGCCCCGCTCCTGTTCATTCATGTCCCGGTGACGTCACCCGGCCCCGCCCGCGGGAACGCGCGAGGCTGCCCTCTTAAAGGGACAGCGCCCCTGCAGCGCGGCCCGGCTTGGAACGGGGGGGGGGGGACTCGATTTAGGGGGGGGGGTGCTCCCAGCACTCCGGTTGGCCATCCCAGTCCATCCCAGTTACCCCCACAGCTTTGGTTGCGGACCAGTGTTTTTGCGCCTCGTTTGGTGTGGATCAGGCGTTGGGGTGCAAGGGGGGGGGGCCCGCTTTGAGGCCGCACCCGGCCCCTCTTGTGTCCGTCCCCCCCCCCCCAGTCCTCCCCCCCAGACCCCAGTCCCTCCCCCCAAATTGCTGCATCCCCCTGACCCCACCCCCGCGGTCCCCACGTTTGGCTCTGGGAGCTGCGCCCCCCCCCCCCCTTCCAGCTCTGGCCCCGGCACACAAGGGGTTAAAGCGCCCCCCCCCCCCGGCCCCTTCCCCCCACTTTCATTCATGAAGCGGCGTGGGAAGAGAGGGGGGGGGCGGCAGCCAATGGCAGCGAGGGGGCGTGGCCTCGAGGCTGGCCCCGCCCCCATCAGTGGCTGCGGGGGGGGGCTCCGGAGCCGGACGGGTGCGGGGGGGGGGGGGATGGGGGATTGGGGGGGGGGGGGGCGCTGCGCCCCCTTTCCTACACCCACGGCTGGGGCGAGGCCGGGCCAGAAATGGGCAGAAATGGGGGAAAATAAGGGCGGATTTCTGTAGGGTTTGGTTGTGGGGGGGTTGGCAGGGAGGTGAAGTGGCGGGGGGGGGTCCCACAGCCCCCCCACTATGGGGCCCTGAAACTGTGCAAAGGGTTTGGCCCCCCCCCGGATTTGGGGTGCTGGGAAGCGGCCCGGCCATAGGGAGCGGTGGGGAAATGTGGGGTGCTGGGGGGGATGCCAGGGGGTCCTGCCCTGCAGGGGGGGGCTGTGCCCCCCCCCTACAACCCCCAGCACCCCGAATCCCCAGCACCCGCAGCCCCATGGTCCTGCATGCACCCCAACACCCCCAAATCCAGCACCCCAACCCCCAGCACCCCACCCCCCATCTGCAGCATCCCCCAGAACCCCACCCCCTCGGCATCCCGGGGCACCCCAAATCCCCCCCCCACAAACACACCCTCACCCCCCTGGGGACAGCACCCACCACACCAGCAGAGCCCCCCCCTGAGCCCCCCCAAACCCCCACCTCCCCACCCCAGAGCCCCCAAAACCCAGGGACCCCTCCCCTTCCCCCCAAAACAACACCAGGGCACCCCGCGGGTTGGAAAAGCATCGCTGTTTAATGGGGGGGGGGCAAACACCGCAGTGAGGGCCCCCCCCCCAGCACAGTGGGGTTCAGGTGGGGGGGGGCTCCTGCCCCTCGGGGGCGACGCTGGCAGCGACCTGGTCGCGTTCCCAGAGCCACCCCACCAGGGCGTCCAGCAGGGGGGCCACCCTTGCCAGCCCCCCCCGGCCCACCCCGCTGCCCCCCGCCCGCAGCACCGGCAGCCCCCAGGTGCCCTGGAAGGCCTCCAGGTCGGCCTCGGTCACATCGGCCTGGGCGGCCAGGTCGAACCTGGGCGGGGGGGTCAAGGTCGATGACCCAAAATTGACCAAACCCCCCAAATCATCCCATGGGTGCGACGAATGTCACCCGATGTCCCCCCCCCCCCTCCACCCCAAAGGATACTTGGTGCCCACCACCACCCGCAGCAGGTCCTCGCCGGGGGCCACCACCCGCGCCAGCCGCGCCGGCAGCTCCTCGAAGGACGCGCGGTCGGTGAAGGAGAAGAGGAAGAGGACGGCGTCCGCCTCCTCCTTGCAGGCCTGGGGGGGGGGGACATGGGGACATCATCACGCCCTGGTGGGGGTCTCATCCCGCATCCCCCCCCCCGCTGGGTGCTCACGGGCAGGATGTGCTCGAACTTCCTCAGGGCGCTGTCGCCGCAGTCCCAGAGCTGCAGCTGGAACATGACCGCGCGCTGGGCGCCGCGTGGCTGGGCCGGCCAGAACACGCTGCTGGCCTCGATGCCTGCAGAATCCCAGAATCTCTAGGTTGGAAGAGACCTCAAGATCATCGAGTCCAACCTCTGACCTAACACTAACAGTCCCCACTAAACCATATCACCGAGCTCTACATCTAAACGTCTTTTAAAGACTTCCAGGGATGGTGACTTCACCACCTCCCTGGGCAGCCCGTTCCAGTGCCTCTCAACCCTTTCAGTAAAGAAATTCTTCCTAACATCTAACCTAAAACTCCCCTGGCGTAACTTTAGCCCATTCCCCCTCGTCCTGTCACCAGGCACATGGGAGAACAGGCCAACCCCCACCTCGCTACAGCCTCCTTTAATGTACTTATACAGAGCAATAAGGTCACCCCTGAGCCTCCTCTTCTCCAGGCTGAACAAGCCCAGCTCCTTCAGCCGCTCCTCATAGGACTTGCTCTCCAGGCCCCTCACCAGCTTCGTCGCCCTTCTTTGGACCCGCTCAAGCACCTCCATGTCCTTCTTGTAGCGAGGGGCCCAAAACTGAACACAGTACTCGAGGTGCGGCCTCACCAGAGCCGAGTACAGGGGGACGATCACCTCCCTAGCCCTGCTGGTCACACTGTTTCTGATACAAGCCAGGATGCCGTTGGCCTTCTTGGCCACCTGAGCACACTGCTGGCTCATATTCAGCCGACTGTCCACCATCACTCCCAGGTCCTTCTCTGCCTGGCAGCTCTCCAACCACTCATCTCCCAGCCTGTAGCTCTGCTTGGGGTTATTGCGCCCCAGGTGCAGGACCCGGCACTTGGCACTTGGCGGGGCGAGGCCTGGGTGAATCCCTGGGGGGCATTGAGCAAACCCCCAAAGCCCCCCCCTCTATGTGTGACCCCCCCGACCCTTTAGGCCTCGCCGTACCCAAGGTCTCGCGGTGGGCGGTGGGCGCGGGGGTCCCGGTGAGGGCGGCCACCAGCGCGGTCTTGCCCACGCCGCTCTTGCCGCTGAGGAAGATTTTGTAGCGCGCCGTGGGCACGGCCAGAGCGGGCGGCAGCGTGGGGTGCTCCAGCAGGCCTAGGGGGGGGGGGGGTAACCATGATGGGGGGGGTCAGCACGGGGTTGGTGGGGGGGGGGGGTCCCATGGGGGTGTTATGGGGTTTAGGGGGGGCTCTCACCGAACACCCTGCGCTGGTTCTTGTGCAGCACCGAGGCCAGGTAGGGGCGGCCCGCGGGGCTCAGCAGCCAGCCCGGCTCCACCATGGCTGGGGGGGCACAGGGGGGGCCGAGCCGTGTTGCCCCCCCCCTCCTTGTGCCCCCCACCCCAATCCCAGCCCCCCCCCCACACCCCCCCACCGTGGGATCCTTTTCCCCGCCCCCCCCGGCTCTGTTCCCTCCCCCCTGGGCCCTGCCCCCCCCCATGTATCCCCCGTGCCCCCCCCGGGTCCCTGTGCCCCCCCCGCTCCCCCCGTTGCCCCCCCCCCCCCGCTGTCCCCGAGCCCCCCCCCGGCCCCGCGCGGCCCCTTTAAGGGTTCCCCGCCCTCACCTGCGGCCGCCTGCAGCCTCGCGGTGACGTCACTCAGGGGGAGGGGTCACGGAGAGGTCACGCCCCCATCGGCAGCGGCGCATGCGCGGGGATGGGGGGGCAGTGGGGGGGCAGTGGGGGAACTGCCCTATGGGGTATGGGAACCCCAGGGCTAGGGGTTATGGGGGCACTGCCCTAGGGGGTATAGGAAGCACAGAGCTGTGGGATATAGGGACAAAGCCCTGTGGGATATGGGATGCCTGGAGCTATGGGTTATAGGGGTACTGCCATATAGGGTATAGGAAACAGAGCTATGGGTTATAGGGGCACTGCCCAGGGGGTGGAGGAACCCCAGAGCTGTGGGTTATAGGGACACAGCCCTATAGGCTATAGGAACCCCAGAGCTATGCGTTATGGGGGCACAGCCCTATGGGACATAGGAACCCCAGAACTATGGGTTATGGGGGCACAGCCTTATAGGATGTAAGAACCCCAGAGCTATGGGTTATAGGGACAAAGCCCTATGTGATATAGGAAGCACAGAGCTATGGGTTATAGGGACACAGCCCCATCGGCTAGAGGATGCCCAGAGCTACGGGTTATGGGGGCACTGCCCTGTGGGATATAGGAACCCTAGAACCATAGGTTATGGGGGCACAGCCTTATAGGATATAAAACTCCCAGAGCTATGGGTTATAGGGACACAGCCCTATAGGCTATAGGAAGCACAGAGCTATGGGATATAGGGACAAAGCCAGGTGGGATTTAGGATGCCCAGAGCTGTCGGTTATAGGGGCACTGCCCAGGGGGTGGAGAAGCCCCAGTACTGTGGATTATAGGGGCCCAGCCCTATGGGATATAGGAAGCACAGAGCTATCGGTTATGGGGGCACAGCCCTATAGGCTAGAGGAACCCCAGCGCTATGGGTTATAGGGGCACTGCCCAGGGGGACATAGGAACCCCAGAGCTATGTGTTATGGGGGCACAGCCCTATGGGATACAGGAAGCCCAGAACTACGGGTTATGGGGGCACAGCCTTATAGGAGATAAGAACCCCAGAGCTATGGGTTATAGGGACACAGCCCAATGGGATATAGAAAGCACTGAGCTATGGGTTATAGGGGCACAGCCCCATAGGCTAGAGGATGCCCAGAGCTATGGGATATAGGGACAAAGCCCTGTGGATATAGGAACCCCAGAACTATAGGTGATGAGGGCACAGCCTTATAGGATATAAGAACCCCAGAGCTATTGGTTATAGGGGCCCTGCCTTATAGGCTATAGGAACCCCAGAGCTATGGGTTATAGGGACACAGCCCCACAGGCTCCAGGAAGCCACAGAGCTGTAGGTTGGGGCCCCCAGCCCTCCACATTGCAGCAGTGCGGCCCCTCAGGCCATGGGGTGCCCCAACCCTGTTGGCTTTGGGGTCCCCACCCCACAGCCTGCGGGACACCCCAAAGCTGCAGGTAACGGGTGAAGCACCCCCCCCATGGGGCCGTGTGCCCCCAGCCCTGCCTTGCTGCCAACCAGGAGCCCCAAAAGCTGCCCTTTTCACCCCAAACCGTCAGGGCGCACGGCAGGAGCATCCCTCCGCGGCGCGGCCACCCGCACACCCCAAGCAGAGGCGGCAGCCCGTCCGTTTCTTCAGTTTTTATTTGTTAAACTGCTAAAAATTCATCCAGGAAGGGGGAAAAACATAAAAAAAAAAAGAAAAAATCAATGTACACAGATTTAAATATCACCGAAATCACTTCGCGTTCCTACGCGCGGCCGAGCCTCCAGCGCCGGGGGGACCTGAGTGGCGGGGGGACCTCACAGCACCAGCGCCGCCGGGGAAAACGGGGTCGTTTCCGAGGAATTCATCATTTCCGAGGAATTTATCGCAAGAACATGCCTTCCTGCGACGCGCAGGGAGGGGAGGGCGGTTTTGGGGCTGGTTGAGGGGGATTTGGGGCTGGTGGAGGATGCAGGGTGCAGGCAGCATGAGGACCCACAGCCCCTCATGGGGACACCCCGAGCTCGCAGCCAGCGGCCCCAAATTCCTGTTGGGTTTTGCTCCGGGGCGATGCCAGGACATGCAGGCGGGGGGGAACGCGCCGGACACCCCGGTGGGCGCTCCCGGGGTGCGGGGATTTCAGCGGGGGTCTGTCTACAAACGGAGCACCCAGGGCACCGTCCTGCCCCGGGCCCTGCCCCAGCCCCAAGTGGCTCACGGATAAATCCCCTTTTATCGGGGCGGGGGGATTTGGGTAGAAAACATCCAGCCCTGAGCCCTCCCGGGGACGAGCCAAAGCCAGCAAAGCTCGGTGGGGACGGAGAAGGACGGGGACCACGTCATGGCACTGCCGGCGGGCCGGGCGGCGCTTTGGGGCGAGTTTCCTACTTTTCAGCTATTTCGGGCGCTGGGTGAGAGATGCCGGCGGTCGCCAGCCCTGGGCCGGAGCTGGGCACGCGCTGTTGACCAAAACTGAGCAGAATCTGCCCATTTCCACCCCCCACATCTCAAGCTGGAAAGGAAGGAAGGAAGGAAGGAAGTTTGTCCCAGACGGACACACAGGTTCAATCCATTTGGATTTTTCTTTGTTTTAATCTTTGCGGAAGGAGGCACATGCAAAGATGATTTTGTTACTGCTATCAAGGCTAATGCCGGCCCACCCTGCCGCTCGCATGCTCCAGTTTACCAATAATTCATCGTTTTGGCTGGAAAAAAAAGCGTTCCCAGGCTATGAGGTGCTGCTTCAGCGGGCGCAGAAAAGCTGTGTACGTGTTTGGGCCGTTCACGGACATGGAAATCTCCGAGCCTAAAGGGGAACGGGCAGCCCAATCTCCGTTTTGGTGGCGCAACGTGATTTTTGGAGTAAACCATTTTCTGCTGTGGGACCCAGAACGATGCTGAACCCCCCACGCAGCAGTCGGAGATGTCAGACGGTGAAATCGGGTCGGGATCTCGCAGGAACCACCCCCTTCCACCCCCCAAATTTCTGAGATTCGGACCCGGTTTCAGCACGTCCCCAGAGCGCGGCACGGAGCCGGGGCAGAGCAGGGAGGCTCCATCTCCGCCGAGGCGCACGGGGGGACAGCAGCAACCTCGTGGCCCTGCTGCGAGCGTTCCCAAACACGTACCCACTGCGCCGGCTGGGATCGCGCAGCGCCACAGATCCAGCACCGAGGCTGCCAGGCAAGGAGGAGAGGGCTGCGAAAGCGAGTCCTGCCCAGCCGATTTCTCAACTTTTTTTTTTTTTTTTTGGCATTTCAACGCAAAACTGTCCTTTCTTCCTTCTTACGGTCCTGCACGGAGGACAGGAATGAGACTGTCAGGCCAAAGGGGTGAGAGGCAAAAAAGGCATCGTGTTTGTTTGGAGCAAAGGTCACAACTTGCAGTGCTGGAAGGTTCCTGTTCGGGTATTGCTGTTGTGTTCCTTACAGAGCCATACTTGAAGCATGGGAGCAATCAGTGCACACGAGCTAACAGCCTCCTGTCTGCAGGTATTGAGCTGGTTCTTACTGAAACCACTGCTACTCGTGTTCCACAAAGAGTTTCAGAGATACGAGGCCTCTTAAACCCCTGGAAGAGGAAAAAAACAACAAAACAAAACACAAAAAAAAACCTCAAGAGGCTACGGGATGGCAGGCTTCCCGCCTGCTCACCCTAAATCCTTGGCCTAGGTCACAGCAGAGAGCTCCTGCGTGAGCACAGCAACGTGGATCCTATGGGCAGGGAGCTCCCTCCCTGCTTGTAAACACGATTCGCTTAACTGGGGTCTTACTGGGAACGGGCGGGCAGCACTGGAGGTTTGCTTGGACTTTATTGGTTTGTTGTGCCCTAATTCACAGTTTGAGTGCCTGCGCGACAGACTTAAAAGGAGAGGGAGAGCCCCGGGGAGGGAGGGGAGGTGGTGGTGGTGGTGCACAGCTCGGGCCACATTATCTCTTTGCTCGCACAAAGTACAAGGCATTGGTTTTGGGATAGTACTTCACGTTCTGTTTCTTGTCCATGAGGCCGCCGAATATGATCAGCTCCCCTCGGCCCTGCACCACCGTGTGCAGGCTGGTCTCGGGCGGCCCCACCACGGAGCTGCTATTGAACACTTTCCATTTGACTCGTCCCTTCTCCTTGGTATCTTTAATGTCCAGCACGTACATCTGCATGGGCTTGCAGTTCATGCTCTGGTACAACGGCTTCCCCACGTTCAGGGACTGCGGAGGGTGGTGGCCCAGGCGGCGGGCGATGGGCGGCAGGGAATGGCCCTCACCTTGGGCAGAGCCCGGCCGCGCCTCGGCACCCGCGCCCTGGCTGCCCGGGGACCCCGGCGAGGCCACGAGGGGGGGGCTGAGGGCGGCAGAAGCTGAAGCACCCTTGGAGGACAGGGCTTTGACGGCCTCCAAGCTCCTGCGGAGCGCGCCGGGCGAGACAGCCCCCGGCAGGGAGCCGGTGACGTGGGGTGGCGTGTGGATGCCGTTGGTGTGCTCGGGGGGGTTCCTGGCACCGGCGCCGAGCGTCCTGCTGTCCGCACCGTCCGTCTGGCAGACGACGGAAGCCGGTTTCTGCTCCCAGCTCAGGTCGAGGGACCCCAAGCGGAGGTCTCTCTGCTCCGGCAGCGACCCCCGCCTCGGCGCCAGGGCGAGCCCGACCTTCAGCTCGCAGCCTTCAGCGGCTCCGGGCGTGCCGGGCGACACCACCTGCACGGGGCTGTCCAAGGAGGCGCCGCCGGCCGCAGCGGCTCCGGGCGATAAGCTGCCCCCGTTGAGCACGGGCGAGCTGTCGCCTCTGGCCGGGGAGAGGCTGCCCTCCCGCGATCCCGAGGGCGTCTGCCGCTGCGCTCTGGGCCGCAGGGTGCCCCAGCGGCCGTTGACGCAGGGAGCCTCGTCCGTGTTCCTGACGGGAGACTGGGAGCGGTACTCCCGCGTTTCGGGCACCAGGGCGGGCGGCGTGGCGCTGATGGGAGAGGGGCGAGAGTTCAAGCTGGGGCTGAGCGGGGCTCTCCCGCTGGGAGCCTGGCTGAAGACCACGACGCACTGTCCCACCTGGAGGAGGGGAGAGGAGGGGACGCGTTACGGCTGCAGGGCGGCCCTTCGAGCTCTGGGGCAAAAAGGCAGGGGTTTGGGGCATCCTGGGCAAAGGCCTACAGGGGGTAAGACGGACCAGAGACCCCGCTGCCTCCGTCCCAAGCCACTCACCCGGCAGGCAGGATGGCACCACAGCTCCGGGGCTCCGTGGTCTTCGTTCTCCACCTTGAGCGGCTGCCACGTCCAGGGGTTCGCGTGCATGTGCAGCAGCCAGGCGTCTTTGAACAGCTGTGAAGAAAAGTGTGAGAGATGCAGGAGAGCAGCTTGCTGCCAGGGTCACCCCATCGGGGGCAGAAACGGAGCTGTGCAGGTGAACTGACTGGGATCTGAGCACCCAGGGGTGCCTGCACCCTGCTGCGGCCATGGACAAGTCCCTCCATCCACGTCTGCTGTCCCAGCACAAAACCAGGGACAATTCCTCCAGTTAACCTCAGTGAGCTGCTCAGATAGCTCTCGGGGTGGTTTTTGTTAACGAAAGGCAGCTCCAGCAGAAGTAACAACTTCTTTGGGACGTCTACACCGTGAGCTCTAGTTTGCAGGACAAAAAAATGCCCCCCAGGTCACATGCAGAGCCCCCCGCTGCCCAAGCCAGCACCCAGGGCTCACAGGTACAGCAGGATGTGTGTGGCTTGTGCCCCTGCTCCCCGCAGGATACTTACTGCGTTGGGACCACCACAGCCACCAAGGATTAAAATGGTTTCGTCATCGATGACAATCTGTGGGGGCAAAGAAGAGCGTTTCAGAGCAGGAAGGACGCGAAGCCATCCCTCTGAGTGCAGAGCCGGGTTACGGCTTCTCAGCAGCACAGACGCTGCTGAATTTTGTCTGCCTGGGGATGAGGAGTGGAGCCAGGATGGAAAGCCGGTTTTGCTGGGCCCAGGGCAAAGCGGGATGCAGAGTTTGCCCCGCTGCCTTGTCCCAAACGGCTCGTAAGCCGGTCCCTTTTACAGAGGAGAGCAGTTACCGTCCCTGAGGCTGAGCAAACATCAGAGGATGCAATGCTCCTCTTCCCAAAAAGGGTGAAAGGACCACCTGGGAGGCTGCAGGCTTATAGCAACGCGTGTTAGATGCTCACGGTGGGCAACTAGGCCCCCCCCTCCCTTTCTTTGGATGGAGGGAAAGCCACTCTCATGCACGACATGACCTCATTGGGGTGCTTCCATCCAGCTGAGGCCAGTCAGGCACTAGGCACCCCTGAGTGTCCTCCTGGGGACTGTGAAGGGGGGGTAGGGCTGCCAGCTAAAACAGACGCCTGTGTTGAGCCCGGTGACTCCCACGAGCTCCCTGCCCCAGGCAGGCACTAAAACAGGCACCACCGGAGCCATGCACTCAGCGGGTGCAATCTACAGTCACCTGAACCAAGGATCAGGAGACCGGAGCAATTAAAGGGGCCCCAAGCAAAACCAACATGTGATAACACCTAATTGATCGTAAACGCCACGGGGCTCGATAGCTGTTTCTCCTCTGATGGGTAAAACAGCAATTTGTTTTCTAGAAATGCTCATTACGGTTCTGAGTCATGTGCAAGACACAGCGCAGTATCTACCGGAGCGTTAGGGAGATTAAACGTGCAATCTCACAGAACAGCTGGCTAGAGAAAACAAGGGCCTGGCAGGCAAAAGACTGCGAAGGTAACTCAGAAATTGGGCATTAGTTTTTGGACGACCCACAGAGAGCTGCCTGGAAGCTGGAAATTCAGCTGTGCCTGGTTTCTCTCTGGCTTATCTTTGGCAGTGCATGCTGCCCTGGAGCTGAGTCAGTGAAGGAGAGCATCACCTGAGACTGGCCACCTCGCGGGTGAGGGCTGGGCCCAGAAATGTTTGGCTTGGACCAAGCCCACTGCTCGAGATCCAGCACCCAGACGTCGTTGCTCCTGCGGGGATGAGAGAAGAAACACTGAGCCACAGGTACAGCCGCTCAGCTCAAGTCCCAAACAAGCACCCGGCTGCAGCGTGCCTGGTTCCTGATGGTACAACCAGGCCCTCAGGGGCTTCAAAATGCTGATTCAGGGCTGAGGTTTTATCACAGAATCGGGTTTCTGCAGGCTGGTGCCTCGCGGGAATTTGCCCTGGGCAGTGAAAGGTGCAGCAAGCCAGCAGGCAGACCCTGCAGCGGGCCGGCAGCGAGCACCAGCCGTGCGTGAGGGCAGGCAGGGTGAGCAGCTGGGATGATCTCAGACTCCTCCGATCAACACACGGATCTGCACCCGCGTGTGACCTTCCCACACGCCTCACCTCCTCTCGGCTGCCCCAGTTCAGGGCACTGCTCTGCGCGGCGCTGAGTCACGCTGCGCTGCGCGGACAGCCCTGGCGGCACGCTTATCTGCGGCCTGGGCAGCACCGAGCTGCTGGTGCCGACTGCTGCAGAGGGGTCCTGCTGAAAAGGGGCTCACAGCACAGCCCCTCGGAGGTTTCTTTCTGAACTGCTACCCCACGAGCACCACAACACACTCCTTGCTCGCAGGAGAACTCCTCAGACGCCTTCTCTCCACACTTACATTTGCCGAGATCCCAGCGAGCCTCCGAAGACGATCATTTTGTCTTCGATGACACAGGAGGAGTGTCCTGCCATGGGAGGGGGGCCGTGGGTGGTCACGATGCAGTTCCACCTGGGGGAACAGGGAGAAAAGACATTCAGCACCGGGGCAGAAAGGATGGTCCTGGATGAATGGCAAAACGAAAAATCCCACGGGCCAGCAAAGTCCTCGAGAAAGCATTACAGAGGAAAACCTCAGGGAAAACCGACAAAGATCCAAATAATAACGAAACTAATTAGAAATACTAATGTGCTCAACATTTTTAAAACATGACAAAGTCACAAGGCCAAGTTGGAAATATCGCCCCTTTCAATTAAGTTTGCCCTGAATTATTTCCAACGCAGTTTAATTACAGCGTTCTAACGACACTGCCCAGAAGTGCATCGGGTAATTGACACTTTTGATGATTAAAAGTTCTCAATGAAAGAGGAGCAAGAACCTTCGCTGCTTTGATACAGCATTTGCTCCTTTCTCACACAAGCATCAGTGAGAAAGTGTGGTCTAAAATCAGCTGGATGCTGTTTAAAGGGAAAATTCCTGCCACCTCCCCGCTCGCTGCTGGAGCTGCAGAGGCAGAAAGCTTTCTGCAGCAGCACAGACCCCTGCTTTATCGCCTTTCCCCTGAATTTCGGATCACCACCACCAAAAAGTGAAACCTCCAGGAGCTAAGGTTTTCTCCTTTACTTTCCTCAGGATGACCTCGAGCTCGCAGCCAGATGAGTTACGCGCTGGGAATATTCGCACCCAGATTTCTGCCCGCCCCGAAGATGTTCCACAGAGCACTGGGGTGGTGCTGGCAGGCTTTTGGGACAACAGAGCAACACGGAAGCGAGCACCACCCAGGAGGTGTCAGACAGCAGTGCGTGCGAGTCTCCGGGCCCGAGCAGCGCTGCCTTGCCTTCTCTTTGTTTAAAGGGAGCCTCGCAGACACGCCGGGATCAGCCACACCTTGGCACCCCCTGTCCCTGCCAGCCAGTCCCGGCGGGCCTGCGGAGACACCTCGGGCAGCGCTCGGGCACTGCAGACACTTGTCCCAGGGATCAAAGCCCGTGCTTCGAATCCAGAGGTTCTCTTACCAGTTTTTGGAGGGCGAGTACGTGTGGATTTCGTCAAAGAACCTCTCTGGCTGGTGCAGAGGGTAGGGGCTCGGTCGCGTCCACCCGCCGAACAGCACGAGCAGGTCCTTGTAGACCACCAGCGTGGCGCCAGCCTTGGGAGAGGGGTACGAACCTGGGCAGGGACAGGAAGGGGGACGGTTAGGGAACCAGGCTCGAACACAGGCATCAAACCCTACAGGAATTTTACCAAAGCGAGGTGACGCGGAGGCTCCACCTTTGAAAAAAAAGCAGCAAAGAAGGCAAAATTAGAGTTGGGAGCCTGGGAAGAAAACTACTGCCAATTTGTGTCACTGTAATTAGTAGGAGCCTGAAAGCACATTTCATGTATGGCAAAACATCTGTCAGTCACTGGCAGGAAATTACTAGCTTTCTAACATATCCCTTTAAATTATTGCTTTAGCACTGAATAAAAGCAATAATTACCTCCAAATACCTACTAACTTCTCCCCAAGGACGGAGTGAGAATGAATACTAATTCTAACACATCCGGCGTTGCTCGTGGCGGATCGCTTGGGAGCTCAGAGGCGGCGGCAGAAACCCAATCCCGTTTTCTCCAAGCGGCACAATCAAACCCAGAGCGCTTTGCTGCGGGAGCTGCCAGCCCCTCCCCGAGTTCACACAAGGCAGCGCTCCTCCAAAAAATCACGGAGGGACTTTTGCCCAGCCGGCTGGAGGCTTGAAGGCTTTGCTCAAGCCAGGTACCTCCCGAGCAGGACTGCTGCGTGCAAAAGCAAGATGTGGCCTCTCGCTGCTGCGATGCTCTGTGCTCAGAGCACAGATCCCGAGGGGTTTCCCAGGACGCAGCAAGGCACTGATCTCACCTTCTGCAGGCACATTTTCAGCTGACCCTGAATGTGTCACCCAAAGCAGGGCCGTGCGGGACCAGGGGCAACCCAAGGGCAAGGCTGCGCACGTGGCTGTAGGAGCACCGGCACCCTCTCCAAGAGGCTGAGATAACAAAGCGACTGCTCTTCTCTGATGTCCTAATAGGACCAGGAGAAGCATTTTTAGCAGGTAATGACATGCAGCACTGAGCCTATTTTTAAAAGAAACCAGAGCAGCTATTTTAAGATGTTGCAGCTGAGAAAAGCAATTCGATTGTGATGGGTTCCAGGTGGTGGGTGGTAAAAACCAAGCCAAAAAGCAACCCCCAGCCAAGCACAAAGAGGCTCAGGGGCTTTGCTGCCACCTTTCTCTAGGGACAAAGCAGGTTTTGGTGCTGCAGCTATGGGGGAAGAGGGGAATAAAGCTGTTCAGGAAACAATTGTTTTGCTAGGACAGGTACACGGCATGGCCAGGACTGTACCCAACATCTCCTCAAAGTCTGAGGTGCCACGAGAGGGTCATGTTTGGTTACTTTTTGTTCCCAGTCAAATTCCAGACTTCCAGTTTTCCTGGCTGTGTGCAATTCGTTAATCCACACCAGCAGGTTTCCAACCCAAGTATTTCCTTGGCAGAGCCTGAAAGTCGCTCTCCCAGGCTTGGCATGGCAAACTGATTGCCAGCAAAGTTTCTACCTGACTTGTAGAGAACAAGCTGGCTGTCTGCGTGTTCCCTTACCCATCACTCTCTGCTTATCCACCCAGGACATCACAAAACAGCACGGGGGCATGCAGCAGGTCGGTGCATGGGTCTGTCTGCAGCAGGGACACCAGCGCAATGCAAAAAGTGCTGGTTTTAAACTGGGACAGGAATTGGTGTTAAACAGATGACTTGGTTAGAATTGTGCCCATGAAGGTTGGGCTGGGGTTGGAGGGACATCCTGGCACCCTGCTCAGGAAGGTGTGGGCTGCTGGGCAGTGGGAAATGTCCCCTTCCTCCTGCTGCAACCTGAAGGCCAGCCCCTGCCCCAGACACCGAGACGGTTCCCAAAGGAGCCAACAACAACCATGTAAACAGCCCAAGGCAGAGGCCAGCCCCGGTTTTTCAGGAAGCTTTGCCTATTATTGGACGCTGCGCGGGTGTAAACGAAGGCAGAGTTTCGTTCTGCTAGGCAGGAAAAAATCTGAATTTCACAAGTGGGAGGAAGAGCTGGCCTCTCGGAGCCTCTTCCCGTGCGGTGAGCAGGCGGCCGCGGCGTGCTCGGGGCTTCAAAGGGTCGGGCACTGCAGGGAGGCGTCCGCCCGGCTCGGGAGCGATGTCCTGGGGCCAGCCGTGAACTCTGCTCCACGGGTGGAGCGTGCTGAAATGGGGGAAATGTCGCAGCACGAGGTGGCTCTCTGTGAGGTTGCTGTGCTCGGTGCCTGTCCTATAAAGGCGGCTCAACCGCATTGATCTGCGCTCGGCTAGAAACGTGCACGAGGGTGGCTGCAGCCTGGAGAAGGAATATTGGAGCATTAACACTGCTTCCTTATTGCTAAGGCAGGGCACAAAAGCCATGGCAGGATAAAAATGTTTGCAACATGACCACGCACGGGCACTGACTGCAAACCCGACCGCCCGAGCAGCTGTCGGAGGTCTCCAAGTAAACCCCGCTTAGCTTTGTAGCAACAGCGGACGCTGCTCAAAGCCGAGGCTTGTAGTTTGGGGTTTAAAATGGTACAAAAGCAGCTTTGGTAGGAGTTGGGGTCTGAGCACAGCTCCGTTCCAGCTCGCTGCCACCTTCCCACCAAGCCCAGGAAGGGCAGGAGCACCTCGAGGGGTGCAGCAGCACCGGGAAAGGCAGCGAGGAGGAGGAGGGGGAGTAGGAGGTGGTGGTGGCGGCAGAGGCGCCGCAGCCTTTGTGACTTCAGGTCTCAAGTATGCGGAGCGCGGAGCCAGGTACGGCACCAGCAACATCAAAGGGACACGGCTCCGCTTCCCGGGGCCCCGCAGCTCAAAGTCCGAGCTTCAGAGGCCGGCCGGGCGGCGGCTCAAAGGATCCGACAGGAGGGCTTCCTCCTCTCGGGGCTGTCACGACCTGCTCGGAGCGCTCTGCTATTATTACACTTGCAAATGAAACGGCCTCTGTGCCTTGCCGTGGACCCAAGTACAGCAGCACCTGCAGAAGGGCATCGTTTGCTAATTGCACCCGCTCCGACGGCCTCCTTTCCTTGGTGGGTGCAGAGGGCCCTTCCTCGCCGAGCACAGAGCGTGTTTCCAAGCTCCGCACCCCGATAACACCCCCGAGCCCTCTATCAGATTATCTTTCCTTGGGGATAAAAACCCAAGCACGCAGAGGGTGCAGCACAATTAACTGCTTCTGAACATAGAAGGGAACATCTCTGCAGCTGACGCTGTTTATTCCGTGGAGATGAGGAGTTAAAAGCCAGCCGAGCTATTTTTTTCCAGCTGATGGATTTTCCTGGCTCACAAGGCAGATACATACTTTTCAAAAACAAACAAACAAAAAAGATCTCTGGCTTCCGTGGACGTGTGGAAGAGAAACGCCAGCCTCTGATCGCTTCTGACACAAGCTCTGAACGCCACCTATTTATGATATGTCCTTATAAGCATTTTTTAAAGCCCATTTATTCAGCCCTCTAATGCCACTGGAGCAGCACGCGCAGAGATCAGCAGCCACAAAAGAAAAACCTCACTCCAGGGGCACGCTAACACGAATTTCCAGACCAGCCTTTTACCGAAGTCAGGCACAGCCCCGAGCAACTCCAGAAACAGGGCACATAACAAACATCAAGCGGAGCTTAAAAGGCGAAAATAAAAACGCAGGGAAAAGCTGCTGGGTGCCTGCTGGGACGGGATCGCAGAGATGAAAGAATTGGTTCAGAGCAGCATCAGATGGGGAAATACTGCAGGAGAGGGGATGGAGTGAAGCCAGGCGTTCGCACCGTCTCCGGGGTGAGGGGAAGACATGGAAGGAGCTCTCGGGTGCTATGAGGGAGAGAAATTTTGTGGGAATTTTATTTGGGCAGGCTCGGCTTTCTGGACTGATGGGAGAAGTGCTCCTAGCGATGGCTGGGGGCCGTTGCTGCCGGGCCCGATGGATTTCTCAAGCAGCCCTGGCTCCAGCAGGAGGATGCTCTGCACCATGGGCTCCAGCGAGCCGATCGCAGTCATCCCGAGCTGATTCACTTTCCAAGCAGTGCCGGGATAAACAAACACAGGCCCAGAGCCCAGTTTCCAATTTCAAAGGGCGAGCTGAGAAATTAAAGCAGGCTCGTCCAGCAGCCAGGGCACTCACCGCGAAGGAAGCCAAGCCCCAGGTTCAGAAGCCGCCCACGGCCCGTGCAGAAAGCCGGGGAATGGGAGCAGGCTCGGAGCAGGCTCGGGGGCTCGCAGCTGCAGCAGCACCACGGGCAGCACGGCCACAGCCACGGGAACGGGGAAAAACCCTCCTCTGGAAGCCGGCCTCGCCTCGCCGGCAAGCTGCATTTGTTCAACAAATTACATCCTATTACACGGATGCACTTAATCTCGCAGGGATGTTATCAGTGGAATGTATTACTGCCAGGGAAAGAGCCAGGGAGATGCTGGGCTCCGGCAGCCAGATACGGAAGGCGACCTCTGCCAGCAACCTGGCGTTTCCCGAGCTTTTTGCAGCCCTGCAAAGTCACGGCGTTTCAGCAGAACGAAACGCCGCGCGGGCTTTTGCTCCGAGGAGTTTGTGTTGTGCTTACAGAGAACTGCAAAGAATGGGTCCAAAGCAAATTGCTCTTTAGAAGGGGAGAAGGAGAGGCCACCTACTTGGCAGGAACACGGGGCAGGGGGCTGCCTCCCTCGGGGAGGTCCTGCTCTCCCCAACAGCTTGTGGGGTTGCAGCCTCCCAGTGGGCAGCAGCCGCCCCGATGCTCGGCCTGGGTTCCCTGGCCCGGCTTTCAGACCAGCAGACTTAAAGGAACCAAATGGTGAGCCCCAATCTGGAAACCTCATCCGCCCCGGCGCGTTATCTGCCGCGGCCCAGGCACAACCCCGACCACGCTCGTGCGGAGCGGCTTTGTCCTGCCGCCGGGAAGGTCGCGTTTTGCCTTGCTCAGCGTATCCTGAAACTTGTCTGACAGCATGAAATCCCCAAATCTTTCTCCCTCTATGGGAAGGGAAACCAGAGAAGGAAAAAATCCCTTGGCTTCACGGTCCAGCCCGGATTTTTCCGTAGTAGTCTGCAGATCTGCCCGAAAGCTTTTCCCTCAGCGGTGTGCTGAGCGAGACAACGAGGAGCCTACGGGCAGAGAAGCA